CCCTCCCCCTCCCACTCACTACTCCTCAATCAAGCGATTCAGCCGTCAAACGCTGGGTAGCACTACCCCGCGCGTCTGGCAAAATGAGAAGTGGTTCTGGCGAGCCACGTCGCGAAGTGGGGCTGGCAGCGATGCTGGAGTGCTTTCGAACATCGGCCGGCCACCACCCCAGCCGAGTTTTCGTAACTGCCATGGGGGTCTTTGGCGACTGCCCCATGAGTGCGACTTTTTGGGCATGGCTGCCATCCAAGAAAAGGATTGTATTTGGAGCGGCAGCATTTCAACCGCGCTCTTTACTACTGTAGTTTTTCGAGCGGCAGCTACTGGTTCCGTACTTGTCTCGATAAACAAAAGTTTTCGGTAGGTGGGAGTGCTGTTAGCGACTTTGACTGACCTCCCTCCCCCCCTCCCTACATTGACGAAGTTCAACGAACGTTATTGGCAGCGCAACTCCCCTCTATCACGGTGCTGATGCTACGCTTATCCGACATGTATCGACGGCGCTGGATCTATGCTGCCTCCACATCAATGACGAATTGTCCAGTGATGTCGGGTATATTCTAGGTAAGCTTTTGAGTTTATCAAAAGCACACCACAGTAAGTTTTCGTTCTTTAAATGACAGCGGTCTCATCCAAAGACCGCAGTTATTGTAGTCCTTATTCAGCATATAATCCGCATAGGGCAGTACACATGAACTTACTCTCACCACGATGCAAGGGAAGGGAATATCTGCATTACAAAAATTATTTAATTCCATACGTTCTGGACTTCGGCGAAATTTTGAATTCGGTGTGCTGGTGAATGACCGAAGCCACCAAATCCGACGTCGCTTTTCTCTTCGCGGGGTGTGGTACAATGTTCGATCAGGTGCCCTGCAGTCCTGACTTTGAATGATCATTTGATTAGGTGGAGTAACATAACCGCTTTCTTGAGGAGGTGAAGCTCCATCGGGTCCTGGGAACTCGAAAGTCTTCGGCATCTCTGGAATTTTAGTTAAAAATGAAATCCCACGACACCAAGAGTACCAAAACCGTTCGAGCTATCAGTGTGGGTATTACCTCCTAGTGATGTTACAAGGATTCTCCCACACGCTGAGCACAACTATGCTAGGCCCTTCGATTCTGAGCTGCATGCCCTTAGTTAGTATTCGCCACCTGTTCAATGCATACGAACCACCTCTTCGGGGATTGCTTACTCCCACGTGGGTACCCATTCACTAACGAACATTGTCTACCGGTTACTGGCAAAGCAAGCAACATGTACTGCCCACCGGATTTCAGTCTCTCATGTGCTCGCGATGATATCCTGTACGTCGCTCACATGACAAAGAGTCTGACCGTTCATATGGTTGCAGAGAGATACGCCAAGCATCCTTTGCTCCGTCGCTCTCTCTGTCACTGCCGGCGCTCACTCTCCAACTTTCGTGAGTGACCATGTCTCACAATCAACCGGCAGTCCTTCAAAATGCATCTCCGACTGGAGATTATATCGCATCTTTACTTGTCCGCATCGGTCATCTTCCAAGTCCACACCCTCCATCTACATTCTTGCCGCGGGCATTCCAGGACTTTCCATCATCCCCGTTTTCTTTGCATTAATTTTTACAAGCCTATTTCTTGCGCTGCGCTTTTGGAGCATCTCGTTATTTCGCAAGAGTTGCTGACAGTAAGATGCCATTTGCGAAGCGCAATTGATCCAGCTGCCCATTGCCGTACTCCAGAATTCCCGTTCAATCCAATCTCCGAAATATCATTTTGAGGCAAGCCATGAAAGGCTTGGGCGATATGAGATCGCCCTGCCTCATTCTCCTTTCGATAGGAATGCGGATTGAAATAGAGAATGGTGTTATGCCTGCCGAGCATCCTGCGTTTGCTTCCTTAACGATTTCCACATAATACCCATTAATCCCTCCATCTACAAGAGCTCGGAAAACAGCATTAAGCTCTATATTATCGAATGCTCTTCCCTAATCGACGAGTAAAAGACAAAGAGGGAGATGGTACTCGCTTGCACGCCCCTGCAGCTGATTCAGAGTGAATATGCAATCTGCCAAACTTCGAAATCCAGCTTACTTCCTCGGCAGCCGTTCACCGAGGAGTTTTGTTAGTCGGTTAGTGATAAACTCCCTAAACGCTTGTAAACAGGCGAGGATAAGCAAATCAGACGGCAATTCATTAGATCTTGTCGTTCATTTGGTAAATCAAGACGGTTCTCCACTCTTTCCAGTTGCAAGATATTTTTCTCTCGACTAAGTGCCGACTGGACCGAACGGCACGAGCTTTCCAGAGTTCAAGTCCTCCTGACCTGGCCGGTTCAGTGCCAACGCAGTCGATCCGGGAGCCTTCCCAATTTCCACTTGGACATGCCTTACTTCACTGACAATTGTTGGAAGAATCTGCTGCTTTGTGGGGCGAAATACGGGTGCCAGAATGTCGGCATGTTATGCAAACAGATTTGTGTAAAATTTTCTACGAATGTTCTCCGTCCCTGTTCGATTCGTTACCCGACATCCACTTCCGGCCTTCAGCACTGTCATTGGAGATGGTACAGCAACAGTTTTCTCTCGCATTTCTTCACGCTCTGCCTTCTTCGGACCGTCTCTGCCTACTGTCGACAACGTTTTGGAGATTCCTCTTCTGCCTGCAAAGAACGGAGCCACTCGACGTTTCGAGTTTTACCACTTTTTATGCTCCTCCTCTTGTCTAACAGCATTTTCGTAACTACGGAGATCCTCGAATTTGACCGTCGAGATCGGGCACATACGGCTGAAGGAGCTTATTAACAAGGCATTTGTAGTCCTCACCAACGCTAGCCGTCATGGTTCAGTCGGTACTCTTGCTTCTTATAACAGATTTCTCTGGACTTGTTACGCTGACCTGCCACGTCCAGTATCTTTCTTCCATATGCTGAAACAATACGTATTTCAGCCCACAGTATGCGGTGATCGTTTCCTGTACTGAAAAACGATACTACCGAAACGTCTCTGCAAATGCGCTAAGC